CTCCCCCTCCCTCCTCCTCCTCCCACTCCCTGACCCCTTTCCTCCTAACTAGTCTCCTAATTTCTTTTTTTTCTCTTGGTGAAAAGTTGAGTTTAATTGGGTCTGCTTGCAAGAGAGTGATTGAGGGGTGATTTACAGAATGTGGGCAATTTCCCAGTGGGTAAGACACTGTGGGATGCATCTCCCTCCTTAGGCAGCCTTTAACTGTGTATAAATTTTCTGAAATCAAATGGATATTTATTTACTTATGACAAATCTTTCCTTTTTATTTGATTTTTCACATTCATTTCTCCTCCTCCTCCTCTTTCTCCTCCTTCCTCCTCCTCCTCCTTCTTCATCTTAATTTTGAGACAGGGACTCCCTGTAGCCACAGCTGGCCTGGATTTGCTATGGAGACCAGGCTAGCCTTGAATTCACAGGGATCACCCTGCCTCTGCCTCCCAAGTGCTGGGATTAAAGGCATGAGCTACCACGCCCAGGTTCCATTTATTCTTATTTATTATGTGTGTGTGCACACCTATACACACAGGGTCAGAGGACAACTTGCAGGAGTTGGTTCTCTCCTACCATGTCCTTAGGCTTGGCCAGAAGGGCCTTTACCTGTTGAGCCATCTCACTGGCTCATCATGTGATTTTTTTTTTTAATTAAAGTGAAGTGAAAGCACTTCCAGACAAATAATAATAATACACAAAACTTTTTGTTAAAGCTGGAGATTTTTTTTGTTTTGTTTTGGTGTGTATTTTTAAAAAATCTTTGTCGTGCAGTGAAGCAGTCTTTGTCTGACAGTGCTCTGGCTGTCTGCCCTTCTGGGTGAGTCTCTGCCCTTCCTCCTGAGAAAGTTCAAGGACCTGAATAGACTGGAAAACCAACCTGGGTGTGGTTGCTTACCTCCTCCCTGGGGAGAAATCACAGTTGTCGTCAGGCCTCTAGGAAAGAAATTTAATTTCCTTAATCACCAGACCCACATTATCCACAGGCTTAAACTTTGATGGGAAAAACGGCCAAGTGAGGTAGTGGGGATGGATTTCGGCTTTTTTGAATCAGTAGTGAGTCCAGAGGTAGATTAGCAAGGCAATAAGGAGTTATCTTCCCGGACTCCCAGAGGCCAGGGACTGAGGTGTGAGTGACCCTAGTCACCAGACCAGCCCTTTAAAATTCACCCCATATTTTTCTTGCGTCATGAAGGGTCCCTGGTAACTTAAAATGTGTTGGTTGTGCTATTTTTAAAAATGACTGTTTTATTTTACTCTGTGCATGCCACAGTCCATGTGTGAAGGTCACAGGACAACTTGCAAGAGCCAGTTTCTGCCTCTACCTTGTAGGTCCTAGTCATTGAACTCAGGTGGTCAGACTTGGCCGCACACGCCTTTGTCTGCTGAGCCCTCTTGCCAGCCCCAATGGTGAATCCTACTTATTGGTTTTCTTGTTAAATCCTAGGGCTGGAAATCACATCTCATACCTGTTTTGTTTATGTAGGTATTTATTTACTGTGTGCTGGGGGTGGAACCCAAGGCTTTGTACATGTTAGGGGAGCATTTTTCCACAGCCTCAGCAGCCCAGTCCTGCTTCTTTGTAACTAGCTGAATTTGTCTGTTTAAACAATGCAGTCCCCTCCGATGCTTATTTGTAAAATGTGGATATTTCTAAAAAGTGAGAGACTGGCCTGGAGGGAGCGTGTCGCTCACTGCAGTCCTCAGCGAACTGCAGGAGTTGGGGGGATGAGCTCACATCCCCCTGTCTCCAAGGCTCTGGGCTGAGGCACTTGGGGCAGACACATCTTGGTTCCTGCCTTGAATTCTGAGTGTGTTACACAGAATAGTGCAGAGCAACTGTAAGTAACTCCATGTGGGTTCTGCTTGAATTTTGTCGCCAAATGAACCTGTCCCAATTTTTCAAGAAGAAATCTTCCAGTGCTCAGAACTTTCTGGATTTCTGTGCTGTTGGCAAGGACTATGGATGACTGTTCTTTAAAAGGCAATTTGAGTTCTCAGGGATCTAAACAGTGATTTTGTCCTCTGGGGGCACATAGTGGTAGCAAGGTTAATATGTGAGTGAGTGAGTGGGTAGGTGGGTGGATGGATGATTGATGGGTACAGGGATAGATGAATGGGTACAGGATGGGTTGGTAAGTGGATGGATGAGCTGATGTTGTGGGCACACACACGCTGGGAGTTAGCGATAACTGAACCCACCCCATGTGTCTTGTCAGCTCCAGTATCAGCACAAGAATTTTTTTGTTTGGTTTTTGGAGACAAGTGTTCATGAAGCCCAGGTTGGCCTCAAACTTACCATGTCCCACAGGCTGGCCTTGAAGTCCTGACCCTCTTGCCTCCCACCTCCTGAGAGCTGTGATTTCATGAGTCAGGCTCTAGGAAGAAGCTTCCTGTGTCAACACAAGGGCATGAGGGCTAGGAGCTGGGGAGGAGAAGTGGGGGAACTTAGGGCTTAGATAACAAGGTCTAAGACCTGAGCTCCTTAGGGCTTAGATAACAAGGTCTCCTAACCCATCAAGCCTGCCCTCTGGCCAATCACAGCTCGATTCTGCCTGGCACCAGACATTTGAGGTGGCCAAGCCAGTGGCCCCAGGCCCCAAGCCTGTTCCTCTATCCCTTCAACTGGACTCCTCCCCAGTGCAGGAGCCAAAGCCTTGCTGTTGACCTTGGAGTCCCTGTCCTCCCAGTCATCAGCAGGTCTTGTCCACACCCCCTCTGTCTCCTTCCCCATCTATCAGCTCTCTGCTCCAGATGATCCTACAGGATCTGTTGTTGAACTAAGTCGGCTGCAGCTGGAGCAGCCAACATGACACTTAGTTTTATGTCCACCCTTGTCACAGCGCTGTGGCCCCCAGTCAAAGCCAGGTCTGACCCTGCTCTTCCCATCAACCCCCTCTTTGACTTCCTCTCTGACCTCTCCTGGGTGCCTGCACATCATCCTGCTCTGGGTTCCCACTGAAAGTCCCCACAGCCATCTTCTGCCCAGGGACTTGGGAGGTGAAACTTGACCCACCTCCCAAAATTGTGTCTCTTTGGGGGGCTCTCCCTTCCCACACCCTGTGTTCTGTGCATCTTTATGTTATTTCTTTTTAAAATTTTTTCTGATTTATTTTTTGTGTATGAGTATATTACCTGCATGTGTGTAAGTGCACCTGTGTCATGCAGTGCCCATGGAGGACAGAAGAAGGTGTCAGATCCCCTGGAACTGGAGTTTGAGGTGGTTGTTAGCCACCATGTGGGTGCTGGGAATCAAACCCAGGTCCTCTGCAAGAGCAGTCAGTGCTCTTAACCGC